CATGGGGAGTGACAATAGGTCTTTGTAGGGTGATAAAAATGTTCTAAAATTAGATAGTGGTGATGGCTGCATCACCAATATACTTGAGACCGTAAACTGTACACTTTAAAGGGGTGAGTTTTATGGTATGTGAATTATATCTCAATCAAGTTCTTTAAAAAACAAAACTTGTTTCAAAAGTGAAGTGCCCGGACAAACTAAACCAAGGGAAGGAAGAGCTCTTGCCACAGGTCAGACATGCGTCCTGCAGGGAGGGCCCTAGACCAGCCCCACAGCCCCATGGGGCAGCACCTCATGCCACGTTCCAGCTACACAAGCCTTGGTTCGCCCTGATACTCATTCTGCTCCCCCTGCCTCGGTCCCTTTGCACTGACTGTTCCCTCAGCTCAGAATGAATGCACTTCCTCTGCTCTGTGCCAGACCTCAGCTCCAGAGCCGCTTTCTCAGGGAGGCTGCCCCCGACCTCCCCTACAGTTCCTGATCTCCCCGACAAAGGCACGTGGTAGAAACCCTCATTCCCTGTGTGTGTACCCACCTGCAGAGCCCTTGTTACTCTTCCAACTTTCATAAGTGCATGTAACAAACATCTGTCCTCCCCTAGACCACAGCCTCCGCAGGCCAGGGCGCGCCTGTCCACCTGGGCATCCCCACTGCTCAGCTGGGTGCCCATACATACCAGGCGCCCAGCAGACATCTGAGGCAGAAACACAGGCGGGCACCGCAGGAGGCAACAGTGATCCAAAGCTGGTGTGTCACACCTGCCACGAGGAGCTCCCATTAGTGGGGGCAGACAGGCCCAGAGGCAGCAAACAATGGGGTCACTGTACAAGCGGGAGACACAGGGCACTAGGGATGCCCCAAGGAGGCCCACCCAACTCAGCCAAGGACAGGTGGTCAGGACAGAGTTCTTGAGGACACACTTGTAAGCTGGAAAAATGCTGCATTTTAAAAGTGCATGAAAATAACCTGCTGCCCCTGGAACTGAGAACAAGGCACGGTATTCAGTGATGTTCCCCGGAGTAGAAGGTCCACATGCTGGGAAATCACAGAGAAAGAAGCTGACCCAACCGAAGGCAGGGTTTTCCAGAGAGAGCTCAGGCCCAGGAGGCTCAGGCATGGGCTCCAACATGGGGATGGTTTGGAGACAGGGCTGGGGACCTTGGGGAAGTGGGGAGGGTCAGACACAGGCACGAGAGACAGACACGGACAATTAAGAGTGGGGAGCTGAGCCCCAGGAAAGGGGTCTCGGGGCCTAGGTGGTGATGAGAAGGAGGGTGAATTAGCCAGGCATACAGAGGAGGGCTAGGGGTCAGCCCACAGGGACTGTGGCGTCCCCAGTGTCCTCCTGGCTAGCTAACAAAGGAGGAGCCCTAGAACCTTCACTTTCTAGGGCTTCCAGAGATTTGAGAGCTCCCTTCTCTCACTTGCACACATGCCAGCCTCTCATTTCCTGCCAGTGTTCCGTGGGGTGACCTCTGCAATGAGTTTGGTCCACCTGGGCTGCCCAAGCCAGGGCACCTTGGAAGATGGAGTAGGCTCAGCACTGGCCTCGGGACGGGAACATCCCTGCGCTTTCCTGATCCACTCATGCCTACACGTGCTGCCTGTCACTTCTGGAGAGGTAGGTCCTGGCCCCTGCTAACCATGAGGAATGGGGCGCATGGATGGCCAGCATGGGAGGCCCAGGCCTCTGATTCTCGCCACCTCGCCCTCTTGTGCACACCCAAGCCAGGAGCAGAGACCCCAACTGTCCATCATGCTGGTGGTCTGGTGGGTTCCGGGTGCCCTGGGCGATGTCCTCCGACCTGCTCCACAGTGGGCAGCGGCCTCAGCCCGTCCCATCCTCCCCAGGTACCTGATTCTGCAGCTGGGTGGATGTGGCTTGCTGATCACTGTCGCAGACAGCCAGCCTCTCCCGTAGGGCCACCAGCTCCTCCTGTAGCTGGGCTTTCTCCTCCTGCAGCTGGGACATGGCCTCCACCATCCTATGTACCACGGGGGCCGCACCTGGCAGCCCCGACAGGCTCGAGCACCTCCCGCTGCCAAAGAGCCGCCCACCTATGAGCAAAGTAGCCGCCGATCAGCCGGGCAGCAGAGGCCCCAGCCTGGCCGAGGAGAGGGGGCCTGTCATGGCAGGGGAGGGGATGCAAGCAGAGGGGACGAGGGAGCCGGGCAAGGGCTGGGGGCAGCAGCAGCATAGGTTAGCCGGGGGCCTCTGGGGCCTGCCTCGGAGGAAGCCACTTCAGCAGGCAGCTTCTGGGGGATGGAACTGCCTAGACCAGGACTTAGGAAAGCAGCTTCCACTGATTTCTCCCCCAAAGCCTGTGTTCTAGGTCTCATGCGCAATACCCTCTCCATGGCCAGCCTGCATGGACTTGCAGCTGAGAAAGACATAGCTCTAGCAACAGCTGTTCTCTCCCCAGAAAACACTATTCTTGGTGGAACATGATTTCTTTAAACCCCAAACCCTCTCCAGAGTACAGAAGAGAGGCGGGGGCTCCCCAGCCTGCCCCCTGCCTTCCACAGGGAGTGGTTGCCCGCACACGGAGAGGGAGCAAGTGGAGGTGTGCGTGTGCAAGGGACAGACAGACCAGGACACGGGGACAGACACAGCACGTGGGCAGGAACACAGCCAGGCACGCTCCCAGGTGGACCCCTGCGGGATTGAGCACAGGGACCTCACAGGCACGAGGAAGGGATAAACACAGGGGTGGGTGGCGCCTCAGCCTTCCACCGTCCTGTCACCAAGAGCAGAAGAGACACAGACAGACAGATAGAAGGACAGAGACACACAATCAAGGCCTGTGACCTGCTAATGGGGCCTGGCATGCTTGTCACAGCTTACTTTGATGGCCCCAAGAATGGCCACAGTCTCTGCAGGTGGGGAACTGGCAAGGAGGTGGGGCAGTGGGGCAGAGGAGAGGCTGGAAGGGCAGGGATCTTCAGGCAGCCCAATCTGGGTCCTGGCCAAAGCCTGAGAGGCAGGGCCAAGTGTCCAAGAGTGAAGCATGAAGAGTGGCATCTGATGGCCACGAGCCTCCACCCTACCTCAGAGCACCAGGGTGTCTGGGCTCTGCCACACTGTGTGGGCAGGACTCGGTGGCGGGGGGATCCCAGACTCTGGAAACAAAGCCACCTGCACCTGAAGTCACACATCCCATCTTCAACCCACAGGGAGGTGGCGAGTGTGCTGCTCACCGAGACAGCACAGAAGCCGAAGCAGCAGCCTGGCTTTGGGACTGGGCTGGAGCGGGAAGCGCAGATGGAGCTGATTGCAGGCTGGGCAGGACATCTCAGCACTGGGCCCAGGAGAGGTAGACAGTGAGAAGCCGCTCTCACTCTAAAGGGAGCAGGCCACACACACACACACACTGCCTTTTCGCTTCCTCCCAACCCCGAGGGACGGCTCCGACTCAAGGCCCTCTGGAAAGCTGGAACAGGGGCCATCACTGGCTGGCTAGGAGCCCTGGCCGTGCGGCCTGCATGTGACACAGCATGCATGTCACACACAGTTGGCCAAGCTTCTGCTCTCTGTTCTAGAGAGAGCGAGCTCAGACGGATGCTTCCAGGCCTGCACACGGGGCTGCCATGGGCAGCATGTGACCAGCACAGCCCTCTGCCCTCTGCAGACTGCCGTGGTGTGGCAGGAAATGCTCTTGACTCCAGATCCAAGAGCTGGTTCTGCCATTTCAGACAAGTATGGGAGGGCCCCTCAGGGGCTTCCTTTGTAAAATGGGGACAATGGTCCTTATCCGGAGGCAACCTTGGGCAAGAGCCTGGATCCCACGAGGGATGCGCAGGTGTGAGTGAGTGTCACCCAGCAGGACACGGAATGGCCCTTCTTGCCCGGGACACTGCTCATCTCACCCTCAGAGCCCACAGCCAGGGGAGTTCACCTTGACCTGGGCACAGTGCCCGTGTGTCAAGGGAGCCAAGAGGGGCCCGGAGAGCACTTGCTGGGCAAGAAAAGACCTAGAGGAAGCTAAGGGACAACAGCAGCGGAGGAAGAGGTGAGATCAAAGGAGCACTTAAGGGCGGGGACTGAGGGACCTTTGCACCCTCATAGTAGGTCAGCTGTCAGTCCAAGTTTTCAGAAGACAGTTTTTTTCTCAGAGACCCTGCCTGGACACGGCCCCTCAAGGACACTCAGGCTCGGGGGTCCCATCCCCAGACCCACTGACAAGAGTCAGTCCTCCGGATTGGCTGGACGATGCCCCCCCTTCCACACCCCGGCCAGACCCCGACACCGGCCCCCGAATCAGTGCCGGGCCCACGGGTGAAGGCGACTCTGGATCAACCTCAGAGAAGGGAGTGGTTCCTTCCACCTCGCAAGTTCAGACAACAAATCAAGCTCTGACAGGAGGAGGCAAACGAGAGAAAGGCCAGCTCCTTTCCCCCCTCGCTCTTGGCCTTCCCCTCAGGCTCCTTGAGAAAGGCCAGCTCCTTTCCCCCTCACTCTTGGCCTTCCCCTCAGGCTCCCTGAGGATGCACTTTCCCAGTAACTGCTGGGCTCTGGGTTCTTGCTGGGGAACCCCACAAAGGGGGTACACAGCCTCTTCCAGAGCCTGTCAGCCTTGCTGGAGAAGAGTGGAGCCACCAGCTCCTCTCTCCCAGCCTCGACGCAGCAGAGCGAAGCCGTGTCCTAGGGCTTCTGGGTCCCTGATGGACCCACGGAGACAAAAGGAGGGGGTCAGGCCTCTCTCTGCAGGAGGTGGCGTCTTTGAGGCTGCCACCTTCACCCTGCTTTTGACAGGCGCTGGGGAAAAGACAAAAAGCGGGGAAATTCAACCCCAGCCCATGCCGGCCAAAGCTGCTTATCACCGGTGGCGCGGCAGCGGCCCTGGGAGGAGGGTGTCCCTGGAGTGGGGATGGGCAGGCTGCAGTCTCTGAGTTCCACGTCCAGGGGCCAGGGGAGGAGGACGGTGTCTGGGACAAGAGCCTCCCCTCCGACACCGGCTTTAGCCTGGGCTGTGCCAGGTCAGCGGGCAGACTTCCTTTACCTGTTTTCTCAACATTCATGGTGCCACCAGCTTCTTGGGCCTCCCGGCCCCGCCTGGGGGCCGGCGCCTGCCTCTTCAGGAGTTTCTCTTCTTTCGCCCCCTGACTCTTGCTCTCGCACCCCTTGTCCCGCAGGGCCTGCTGCCAAGACACAACCAGAGTCCTCACGTGAAGGGGGAGGGGGACTGTGGCGGGGAGGAGACCCCCCTCGAGCCTGAGGACGGTGCGCTCCCGGAGCTGGTGAGGACCTCAGACCCGGCCAGCCCATCCCTCACGCTGTGGGTGGAGACAACGAGGCCCGGAGTCTGGAAGAAAACATGCCCAGATCTCACAGCAAGAGGGGGGCAGTGTGTTCTCCTGGCCCCCATCAGCAGCCAGCCCTCTGTACCAGCAAACAAGGTTCCTGGGCACTTAGAAGCCCTCAGGTGAAGCTCACTCAGCTGACCTGTGAGCCCCGAGTCACCACTGCAGTGGTCTGATCGCTGCAGGTGCACTGCCCCAACGTTCACAGGCTTGTCCAGCCCCACCAGGCACACGGCAGTCTCAGGGCAATGCCCGCCGCCCCCCACCATGATGTCAGCTGCCCTCACCTTCAAACGGCACCAGCCTGGGACTGCCTAGGAGGGGGCACCCGGGTCCATATGAGCTGGGAAAGGCCATGGCCCACCCCCCAACATGGCTATCCGGGACCGCAGGACCCTGTCTCTAGGTCAAGGAGGAACCAAGGCAAAGAAGGCTGAGGTAGAACAGGCCAGTGAACTGGTGGGGAGACAGAGGGGAGAGGCAGAAAGAGTCTCTCACGCAGAGAAAACCACCTGCAACTCACACAGAAAGACGTCCAAGGCAAGCAGCAGAACCACACGTGAAGTGCGATTCCATTTAAGGATAATGGAAATAAAAGAGGCCTCCAAAAAAAAAATCTGGGGAAACATACACTGGTTTCCTCTGAGAGGTCGGATGATGGTGCAGGGGCTAAGAGGAGAAATATGCAGCATTTAAACTTTGGGGGAAATCAAAACAAACTTCACCGAGAGAGGGGGAAGAAAGGAAAGCCTTTACATTCCATTTTGAATCTTTTTGGCATTTGCATTTTTAAGCTTGTAAGCATCTATGATGTACTGCTTTGTTATCTCTGATAACAGAAGTTATCTGGCAAGGCAGATTACAGACACTTTTGTGCGTGTCTTTGTGCCCACCTTATTCAAAACAAAAAGACAAATGCTACGTTTAAAAAATGTTCAGAGCCTGGGGTCGGAAAGGCCTGGGTGTGAAGCCTGGCTCAGGTGACCAGTGTGACTGTGGGCAAGTTACTTACCTTCCCTGGAGTTTCATTTCCTCATTCTTAAAACAGCAACTCTACTTTCTGCTTGAGAAGGGAGGGTGGTGAGCAATCTCTCGTATTTAGGAAAATTCCCACGACTTAATTTTTTCCCCACCCTGTGACCAACTGCCACACCAGCATGAGCAGCCTTGTCACTGGTGGCGGCAACGGGGGCAGCTGGAAGTTTCCATTTGCCGCCCAGAGCAAAGGTTACACTATTTCTGGCCTGTTGGCCAAGCCACAGGATGGGCAGGCAGGCCCCCGGGGGGTTGGGAATTTCTGCAGCCTCCGAAGGGAGCGACTCAGGTTGTAACTGCTTGAGAAGCTGGCAGGGGACCAACTGGGTCCCCTCACTCTGTCTGGGTCCCTACTTGGGCCCCACATCCGCCACCCACCTTGAAGCCCCTATAAACAGAATGAAGCTTCAACGGCCCAGAACACAGCTGTGGAAACTGGTTGCTGGTGGGAGCTTCTTAGATCCTCAGCAGACCTGCTGACCCCAGGACTCAGCGGCAACCACAACCCAACACCCCATAATCAAAATCCAAGAACAGAGCCTCCGCCCAACTCAAGGCTGCTGGTTTCTGACCACCTCCCGATTTAATTACCAATGGCTCAAGTCATAAGAAATGGTTTCTTTAACATAAAAACAGTTTCTTTAACTGTCCCCGAAACATGCTTTCCTCGCAGACCTTATAGATAAAAGAAGGACCATTCGGTTACATTTTCAGATGAACCACATAAGAAGGGCTGACAAAAACCCAGAAGCCCAAGATTGTCCCTGAAGCGACAAACAAGGGGGTCCATGTTCAGACCCGGCTTGGGGCCACACGAGGGAGGACAAACACAAAGGGCACGTATTTCCCACAGCCCCTCCTGCCCTCCATCTGCATGTGTCCCTTCAAGGTGGCCCCCTCATGCACAATCTTTCTTGCGGGGAGGGGCCTTGGCAACACCCCCAGATAACTCTGGTCCTTCATCCTCGGCCACTATGTCAATGTTTGCGCATACATTTGTGATCATTTGATTACTCCTGGCCTCTCTGCTAGACTGCTTTGTCTATTTCTCTTCTTTGCTGTGTGCTGGCACCTAACACAGAGTAGGCACTTCATAAATACCTGTTAACAAATGCATCCATTTAAAAATTACAGAGCCTGTGCTATCCTGAAATTGCTCAAGCTATAGCTGCATGAATGCATAGGTATTTGTTTAAGGATCTCTTTGCAAACAGAAACAATACAGAGGATCAGTTAGATAAACCCTGAAGTAGAAGATCATGCAGCAGTTTAAAAGAACGAGGTAGTTCTCTATATACTGACAGGCGTGAAGAAATAACCAAGACTTACTCTTGAGGGAAAGAGCTAGTCACAGAACAGAAGGTAAAAATAAAGAATAAAAATTGTATAAATCCAATGAAGTGGTTGTACAGGAAAGATAAATAAACACCAAACTCTTAATAGTGGATTTCTCAAAGATACAGGATGACAGGAGACATTCAATTTCTAGATATTATATTCCTGCCACGTGTGAATTCTTTACACCATGTGTTATAAAGCTCATCATGTTCAGATCCCAACTTGCTGTGTGACCACTAGCAAGTTACTTGACCTCTCTGAGCCTCCCTTACTTCATCCATAAAACTCACATAAAACAGTAACCGTGTCTTGGACTGATGTGAGACATACAATACATGCCACAAAGCCTGGTACAAAGTCAGTGTTCGATGAGGAGCAGCTATTATTATTGCTATCATGATGTATTAATTCTACAACCAAATACTACACATATATATGTAAAGTTTGTCTTTTGAAAGTCACATGATAACTGACTTGCAGTGATAACTGCAAGAGAAAAGAACCCAAGTTTTGGCAAAGTCCTCTGTCTAGCTTTAGGTTCTCACTTTAAACGAGGAAATGTAAATAAGTATTGCCCCATGGACTCATATGCCCCAGTGGGAATAAACAGCTCCCCTAAAAACCTGCCCATCTTCCCAATAGCTCCTCACTGAAGGCCCCACAGTTCCCACTTTAACACTTCAGCCAGGGCGTGGCTGAGAAGCTGCTGTCATCTCCTGTGAGATCTCCCCCAAGCTAACCTAATAAGCACATTGCCCCATTCAGGCAGGCTCAGGGTGGATGTGCCATGAGGAGCTTGGCAAGAGGCAGAAGGCAGGCCCCCAGCTCTCCCTCCCTGCTTCCCTCCCTGGAGAAGGAAGCTGCTGGAGCTCAGAGGGCCACGGCACACTGGCCCAGCTCGAGCCCTGGCATTTCTGACCGCCCCAGGGCTCACCTGCAGGGTCAGGTAGAGCCTGTGAGGGCTCCCGGGGCTCGCCCAGTCCACGCTGAGGGCTCGGCACTGAGCCAGGGCCGGGCGAGCTGCACTTCGGGTGCTGGAGTCCTCGTCGCCGCCAGCCGGGCTGTCTCTTCCACGCCCTGTCCCAGGACAGAGGAGACAGGTGAGATGCTTGACGCTGGCTGGAGACTGCTGGCCGGGGACCACTGGCCAGGGCCGCGGCTGAGCTCCCCTTTCACACACTCCAGGCAGCCCAGGTGCTGCCAGGAGGGACTCACACGCCCTCACATGCCTGCCCTACACAGAGGGAAGGCCTGGCACTCGGCGGAGGCTGCGCTCCTTCCTAACCACAAGCCGCCCTGGGATCCTCTGCAGGAAGTCGCCCAAGACCCCGCGGGAGGCAGCGGGCTCCCCTCCCTCCATGGTGGCGTTAGGGCTGGCACCTGCCCACGAACACCCTCTACAGACAGGAGCAGAAGGAAGCTGATGCCACCCTGGCTGCGCTAATCTTCACAGGAGGTGCACCCTGGGGCCGCGGCCTCATTACCGAGGCTGCCTCTAGGTGGCAATTTCTCCCCTGCCTTCATAAAGACCAACCCCACGCTGGGTGGCGTGGTCCCTGCAGCCTCCAAAAACACACTCAGGACCGGTTAAGGCACATCCTCTCGAGCCTCTGACACACCACCTCCCTCACTGGGTGGGGGGAGAGGGCTGCAGCAGCGACATCCCATTCACCCCTCCCTTGACCCACCTCCAGAGCCTGTGGGACCAGACGGGGCGGGAGAGGGGATTCGCCTCATAGGGCAAGCCGCAGAGCTCCCACCCTGGGGGGCAATCACATCCTGAATGCCAGCACTGGGCCAAGTGCTTTCCAGGCCTTATTGCCCTTCTTGATCCTCAGTTTCCTTCTCAATACAATGGGCATAAGGAACCAAGCTCAGTCCTGTGATAAGGATTAAACGGGGCGACACATGTAAAGCGCTCACACAGAAGATAGCCAGCAATGCAGGCCATCAGCTCCTCACAACGCTGAGAGGTAGGAACTGGAGACCCAGAAGGGTTAATAATGTGCCCAGGGTCACACAGAGCCCGTATTCCAGTCCCATGTGCTACCCCACCCTCTGCTTGCCTACCCTTCTCAAGGCAGCAATAAGAGGGGGGTGGGGGTAGAGAGGCCCAGGGACATCCACACTGGCTGAGGCTCTACCCAGTGGCAGGCACCACGCTTAGCATTTCACACACACGATTTCACTGGACCTTTGTCTTAAATTTTAAAAGTAGATAAAAGTCTGTATGGTCATATAATCCTCATAATACTAATTTAAGAGACCAATACACACACACATAAGACTAGAAGGAACTATATAAAATGTTTAGTGACAGGCTTATAGGTGATTCTTATTTTCCTTCTTATACTTTTCTGTGTTTTTGTTTTGTTTTTTAGTTTTCCAAGAGAACATTTTTTTTTTTTTTAATTCTTGCTTTCTTTTTCTTTTTTTTTTTTTAACCAGAAAAGCAATACTGTTCATTCATCTTTAATCCTTTGGACAACCTTGTTGGGTAGAGACCATCTTCAGCCCCTTCCAGACAACTGGGGCTACCTGATCCAAAAGCCCAAGCTTTCCCCGGCGGCCTCCAGGGTCACCCCCAGCCTCACTGTCCCCTGCAGAGAGACTTCGGAGGGCAGCACTCTGGCTGCCACCTATGGCACAAGTGTGATGAGAGGGGACTGGAGTTTGCTATGTGCCCTCTCTGGGCCTCAGTTTTCCCTTCTGTACATAGAGGGGGGCTTGGACCCGATGTCCTGGAGGGACTCTGCCAGCTCAGACAGGCTGGCAATCTACAGCCCTCTCCCCATAGGTCAGGGGCAGTCAGACAGCAAACCCCTGAAGGCATCTTGTCTGAAGATGCCCCCGTCCCCACATTTACAGGACAACCTACCCAAGCCAAGGCTGGCAGACAGTCATGGGGCAGCTCCCCGGTCCTGACGATCTAGCTCCCACCGGGAATCAGAGGAGCTGCCCACTTCTTGACGCTGGAGGCACCAGGGGACATGACCCAGAAAGGAGAGCTGCTGTTGACAGCTCCCCCAGGGGCACAGCGGGGGCCCAGACTCGGGGACTCCCTCACTGCCCACCTGCTGTCGGGGCCACCTTGGATGGCACCTAAAAGGAGCGCATGGCACCCACTCCCTGCCAGGCCACGCTCCGGAGCAGCCTCCGTCCACTCCTCGCCATCCGCGGGCGAGCCCTGGCGGAATCAAGTGTCAGATCCGCGCAGGGCACCGGGCAGCAGTTCACCTACCTTGTTTACCGGCCGCGGGCAGAAACCGGAGCGAGACCACGAGCGCTCCGCCGCCAAGGACAGGCGGATCGCAGAGCCACAGCCACCTGGCCGGGCCAGGGAGCGCGTGGCTATCCGCGGCGTTCTCCCCCTGCGCTACAGACTGCGTTAACGTTTAATTCGGCGTCCCCGGCGTCTCTTTACAGACAGGCGCGGGGCAGGAGCGCCCAGCGAAATTGACGCCCTGACTCCACGCCCGGCTCGCGGGCTGCCGATACCCTGTAATTACCTGACAGCTCTGACTGAGCCTAGGAACTTGCCAGAAACCCCGATCTCATCGCTGGTATCTGGAGGAAGGAAAGGAAATAAAGAGGCATTTTAAAAATGCGGACTCACCAGTTCTCAACCTCCCCGGGCCGGTGTGTGGGAAAGGGCGGGCGGCCGGGCTGGCTGGGGCGGGGCGAGCCATCCCCGGCTCGGGCTCCCCGGCCCGGCCCACTCGCCACAGGCCGCGCAGCGAGGGCGTGGCTCCCAGGTTCCACGTCCTGCGAGACGGGACCATGGCCCGGCGGGGCTCAGCGGCCTCCTCCGGGCGTCGGGCAGCCTGCGGAGAGAGCAAGAAAGCGAGATTGAAGCCCGCTAGCCGGAACCCTGCGCCCCCATCCCAAGCTGATCGGAGCCCACCATCTGGAAGGGTCCGCTGAACTGGGTCACCTGTAAACCAGAGCCCCAACTCGAATGTCCCCCAAGGAGCCCCTGGGCTCACGGGCTGAAACAGAGCTTATCACCATTTCAGGGTACTAGTTAAGGAGAAGGGAGGCTCAGAAGTGGGCAGGGAGCCCATCAGGTGTTTCTGCAGCGCAATGTGGAGACCCCGCATCTCAGCCCCTCCACTCGGAGCCTGGCAGCATAAAGACAGGTCACAGCCCCACACGGAGGAAGCACCAGTCAACAGCGTCTCCATGAATCTATTCAGAAGGGGCCCTGACTGTGGCTGTGACATCAGGCTTACATATAGCAAATTCTCTTAAAATCAGCTCATTCTTGTATTCAACTAGCCTTCACACTGTACCTACAACTGACAGACACCGAGCTAGGATTTGAAATACAAAGATTCATTCATTCCTCATTTAATAATTATTTACCCAGTACCTGCTGTGTGCCAGGCACCTGCCAGGGGTCCTCTTTGATCAGGAGAGACATGGCCTCAAAGCTCCCTGTCAGGAGGGAGGTAAACACTTCAACAAACCTCCACAATCAAAACAGGATGCAGGGAGGCACCAGGTGGTATGGAGAATGGGGGTGGGTGTGGGGAACACTGGTCTGGGTAGAAAGCCCCATGGGGCCCTTATGAACAGAGCAAAGGAACAGAACAGACTTCTTTGACTACACAAGTCTTTATTGAGTACCTATTGTGTGCAAAGCAGCTCTGAGGGCATTTAAGGTGACACCAAGCTGTGGTCCCAGACTCAGACAACAAGTAATGCCATTTACAGAAGAAGCCAAGTCAGCTCAGAGGGGCAATATGGAGTTTGCTTTTGGTTTTAAAATGGAGTTGGAGGCACCCCAGGACTTTCTAATGGCACCACCTGGGCTGTAGGCCACTTTCCCTAACCCTCGCTGCACTGACCACTCTCTACCAGGCAGTAAAGATATGTCTGAACAGTGTCCATCTCCCCTGACAATCTATGGCTTCCCAGGGTGGGTCCCACAGCACCCAGCCTAGAGCGAAGCTACATCCACACCAAACACCTGGTGATGGCTTCTGGGTGAAGGCCCAGAAATGAATGCACACAAAAGCTCAAACTTAAGCTTGGAAGAGAGCAGGGCTGGAGATGGAGACACAGAACCGGGAGGCTGACGGGGGTCACTGTGGCACAGGTGAGAATGCAATCACCAAAGGTGGTGCAAGATGAGAGGCAACCAAGAAGGATGGAGCTCACTCCAAGTGGGAAGAAAAGCTGGAGAAGGAAGGTCAGAGGTGGCAGGAGCACCAGGCAGGTGCAGAGTCCTCAGAGGTGACCGGAGAGTAAGTGGGAAGGAGAGGATGGTCAGTTCCCAGGGAACCATGCCACGGAGAGGTCAAACTGGAAGAAAGGTCAGTGGAGCAGGGCAGAGGGCAGATGTGGGAAGGCCCAAGGGGGATGGGGGCTAGAAGAAGCTGCCATTTCCTTCACTTTGGAGAAGCTGGCTAGGATGGGAAGGAGAGGATGTGGTATTTAGCATAGGAGAGATTTGCACATGCTGGGTCAACACAGGGACAGGAATGACTGAAGCATCAAGAGGCAAGAGAAGAGTGCAAGGATGGGTGGCCTGAACATCTGGTGACCGATGTTCGCAGAGCTGAGCCCTGGAAGAATGCCAGGCTCCTGACTAGGGCATCATGGTCGCTGCCTTCCTGGACTAAGGAAGACAACTTGGAGGAGGAAGGAGGCTCCTGGGTGCAGTCTCCCTGGGAGGGGGCAGGACTGCCGGCCAAAGGGCGGGTTGGAGGCTAATCCAATATGTGGGCAGCTCTGCTGAGGAAATGGGAGATGGAGCAGTGTGGAATGGAAGGAACCAGATGTCCCCTTCTCCAGGCTGCTTGGCACGGAGCTGGGCGCACAAGCAACCCTGAGGCTCAGCTGCCCAAGGGATGAGGAGGGAGTGAGACAGGCTCCACCTGCATGCCAAGCCGCTGGGAAGGTGAGATGGCGGAGGAC